TAAATAAATAAAATCTTTAAAAAAAAATAAAAAAATAAAATAAAATAAAAAAGAAATGAAGAAAAATGGTAAATTAGAAAAAATGGGTATTTGATTTAAGAAATTCTTAAAAAGGATAAGAAAGAAGTTAAATGAATATGAAATGGAGAGTTTAGTTTTCACAGAGAGCTAGAAACCTATCACATTGAAATAGATGTCAGATTAATATACTAAAAATAAGAAACAAGAAGAACAATAGAGAACAATGATTCTTCTATAAGAAGTCCTATAGACCTAGATCTCAAGATCCAGAATTTGAGCTCTCTTGAATAAAAAACTCCCCCATGAAGAGGCACCTGAGCGGCTCATTTGGTTAAGCATCTGCCTTCAGCTCAGGTCATGATCCCGGGGTCTCTGGATCGAGTCCTACATCCAACTTCTTGCTCAGCGGGGAACCTACTTCTCACTCTCCCTCTGCCTGCCGTTCCCCTGCTTGAGGTCTCTCTCTCTCTCTGTCAAATAAATAAATAAAATCTTAAAAAAAAAAAATTCCCCCATGAAGATTCTTCTAAAGTAGAACTGGGAAATATAAGCAACTCTGTATTCAAAGTTAGAAAAAAAGGGGTGCCTGGGTGGCTCAGTTAGTTGAGCATCCAACTCTTGATTTCAGCTCAGGTCAGGATCTCAGGGTCATGGGATCCAGCCCCATGTAGGGCTCCGTGCTCAGCGTAGAGTCTGCTTTGGATTCTCTCTCTCCCTCTGTCCCTCCCCCCACTTGTGCATGCATACGCTCTCTCTCTCAAATAAGTTAATTAATTAAAAAAAACACACACACAGAAAAAAGTTCTCAGATATCTAAGCATAACTGAGAGGCTAGCAGAGACCAGTACCCAACTCTTCATGGGCATATGACCCAGAGTCACATAACATAATATTCAAAATATCCCAGATGCAATCCAAAATTACTTGACATTTGAAGAGCCAGGAAACTCTCCATATCTTATGAGGAAAAAGACAATGAACAGATATCAACTGAGATGACCAAGATGTTGGAATTTTCAGACAAAGACTTTAAGGCAACCATTATAACCAGGCTCTGATAAATAAGAGTGAGCCCCTTTGAAACAAATGGAAAGATAGAAAGTATCAACAGGGAAACAGAAGATATAAAAAGGGGGGCACCTGACTGGCTCAGTAAGCAGAGCATGCAATCTTGATCTCAGGGTTGTGAGTTCAAGCCCTGCTTTGGGTGTGGAGCATACTTAAAAATAAATAAAATGAAAAATAAAAAACAAATTCCAATTTAGAAGATATAAAAAGGGACCACATGGAACTTTTAGGAGGAAAAACACACTACAATAACCAGAAACTTAAAAATTCACTGAATGGGCTCAGTAAACAGTATAGAAATGACAAAAGAGTCATTGAATTTGAAGATAGATGAACAGATGTTATCTGATCTGAACAACATAGAGAGTAAAGATTGAAGAAAAACATGAACAGAATTTCAAAGGACTGTATGACAGTATGAAAGGTCTAATATTCATATCTCCAGAGTCCCAGAAAGAAAAGAGGAAAAGCATGGTGCAGAAAAAATATTTGAAGGAGTCATGGCCAAAACTCTCCAAATTTGGCAAAACACATAAACTTACAGATGCAAGAAACTCAGTGAATCCCCAAAAGATAA